AATTATTTTCCATGAAACCTCTCACATTATAACAAGCCAGTTGTATTTGCAGTTCCTGGAGTTCAAAATCATTATAAATGTCTTGCATTTCTGTAGCTGTTCAGTTTCTCAGCTCCGAGCTGGTTCTGCTTGAACAGCTGTTACGAACCCTCAGGACTGCAGTTTGGCTTTTCCTGTGTTTTACAGAGACTGACTGCAAGATGGAAACTACCAGACAGTATCTTGCAGATGAGAGCACACGACTTCAGTGAGGAGGATCAGTGATAGAATTGGAATTGATTTTGCATGGTACTGTATAATATCAGACTTAGAAGTCCCTTTTTACTGGTGCAAATTTGCACACAAATCTGTTCTGCAGTTTATATTCATATTAACTTTTCATATAATATGATCCAAAATCACCTCAAACTTCCTTTCTGGTCTTTCCCTATAACTTGGGTCCCAAATCTGCTCCAGCCTCCGAAGTCTGTTCTGCTTCTAGAGATTCAATATCAGCTACCAGACGCAGACAGAGCACAAGGTATTCTGTACATTTTTAAAACTGGTTGAATTCAATTACTGAGCAATAAACAATTCTGCTTAATCACCTATACAATAACTTCACTAACCTACTGATAAGATATTTTTACATAATTCTTGGGTCCGGATTGTACTAGCTGCCTGTCAAGCTATTCCCCCTCCATCTCCACTTTCAAAAAGGTATCACACTCATTTCACCGATAAGTGGTTAAATGCTTCTAACAGCCTATTAAACATTACCAAGAGGAAGGAGAAGCAGCAGGAACATACCATCAGCTGCTCCCAATGAGTTGCATTCCTCTTTGTTCTGAGGCTTGTGAGTTCCATTCGCTTGGCTCATTTTAGGAGATCCTTGCAAGTTATTGCTGAATTTTCAGGAAGGAAAAATATCATTTGTGCAGGAAACCAAACAGCAGCCATAAGCAATTAGGCCGAAGACAGGACACTACTGTAGAGGGCCAAACACAGCAGCAATGACCTAACCTGGCATATTGTCACAGATGATGGAAAGATTAAGGAGGGGGATATGTTGATATTCTGGAGCATGTTGAGAGTCTTGAAAAAACAAAGGTGGATAAATCCCCAGGACCTGATGGGATCAATGCCATAATACTAGCAAGGCAAGGGAGGATCACTGGGGTCTGGATGGAGATCTTTGTATCCTCTTTAGCCACAGGTGAGGTCCCAGAGGCCAATATTGTTTCTGAAGGGCAAAAGGGATAATCCAGGAAATTATAGGCCAGTAAGCCTTACATCAGTGGAAGAAGAATTAATGAAGAAGATTCTACAGGATTTACCCGCATTTAGGAGAGAATAGGCGTATTAAGGATAGTCAGCAAGGGAGATCTTGTCTCAAACTTGACTTGAGTTTTCTGAGGAAGTGATAAAAGATGATTGATGAAGTAGGGCAGAGGATGTTGTCTACATAAACTCCACTAAAGCATTTGACAAAGTTCTTCATGGTGGGTGGTCTAAAAAGATGAAGTCACATGGGATCCAAGTAAAGTTGGAAAACTGGATTGGCCAGGGAAGGCAGAGGATTCTTGGAGGGATTCCCCGCGACTGGAGATCTGTGACCAGAGGTGTTCTGGAAGGATCAGTGCTAGGCCCTCTGGTCTGTAATACATATTAGATGACTTGGATGAAAATGTAGGTGGTCTGATTAATAAAAGCTTGCAGACATGAAAATTGGAGGAATTATGGGTAGTGGGGAAGGTTTGGAAAGTTGGACAAAGAAATGGCGACTGGAGTTTCATCTAGACATTTTGGGAGGTAAAATGCAAGATGAAAGTGTACAGTTCATGCCAGGGCCTTATAAGCATTGACGTAGAGAGGGACATTGGGGTCCAAGTCCACAGCTCCCAAAAAATGAAAACACAAGTGGATAACAGTAATGACGAAGGTGTTCAGCATGCTTGCATTCATCGGCCAGGGCACCGAGTATAAAGTCGAAAAGTCATACTGCAGCTGCACAAGACTTTAGTTAGGGCACATGTGAAGTATTGTACGCAGTTCTGAGCGCCACACTAATGGAAGGATGCGGAGGGTCGGAGGGTCAGAGGGTTTTAAAAAAGGTTTACCAGCATGTTGCCTGGATTGGAGTGTATTAGCAATAAGTAGAGGTTGGGCAAACTTGGATTGTTTTCACTAGAGCAGAGGTTGAGGGAAGACCTGATAGAAGTATATAAAATGTTGCAAAGTATGGACTGGGTGGATAGTCAGGAGTCTTTTTCCCTCGGGTGAAAAAGTGTCAAATATCACACAGCACAGGTTTAAGGTGAGGGGAGAAATGTTTTAAAAAACATGTGAAAGGAAAGTTCTTATTTTAAAAAAAAGGGTGGTAACTGCCTGGAATGTGCTGCCAGGGGATGCAGTAGAAGCAGATATGTTATTAAAAGTTTAAAGAGTCAGGGAATAGAGTATATGGACCATGCGCAGGCAGATGGGATTAGTTTTAGAATGGCATCATGGTTGGCACAGACATGGTGGGCTAAAGGTTCTGTTCCAATGATGTACTGTTCTGTTGTGTGTTCTATGTATGAGAGTAGGACAAAGTATTACATAACCAACATCCTCACACTCCTTACCACATACAGCAAGCTCGGTTTTAACCGGCACCATACGAACCAGCCCTCTCGGCAAAAATTATACATCTCATATACAGGAAGTTTACTGTATTATCATGATCTCCGATGTCCAATTAGTCAGTTGAGGGCACCAGTGCAAAGGCTGTCTGCCGGTAAGTTTTATTTAAGGTAAAGATGCATTGTTATTTAACTGATTCATGCTGTAAAACTATAACAGTGCTATGTATACCACCTGCATTGTTTCTATTACTTGGTGTTTTTACATTGATTATGTGGACCTCTTGATCAACTGGAATATTTGATCAAATGGCACACTCCTAGTCTCATGGGTACTGGTTAATAAAAGTTTACTGTACATTCATACATAGAATTGTATTTGCACAGATTGTTTGACACTACTGTAAACACCTACAACGTGCAACTCACCGTAGACTGGTGATTGGGCTCAAGTGATCTCTTGAACTTTCCCATCCCACCACACAATGTGGCTCAGTTATGTTCCTGGCAGATAGGGAGAATCGTTCAAACTCGGATGGAGATATCAAGTAAAAGCCTGAAACAGCAAAAATACATCAGAACAGCAGCAACTCAATGTATTAATTCGACTGAAGTTACAAACAAGGGGTGGTAATACCAAAATTTGCTTCCGTTATTTCAACTAGTTGTTCTTACCAAATTAATTTCCACTATGAATGACAAAAAATATTTCTGTCACAAAATCTGTCTTCACACTCAAAAAGCAACCAGAGATAAAACTAATTTTATCTTGGACTAGCAAACAGACAAATCAAAACTACTTTAGTCTGAAATGAAATCAAAGATGGACCTGGAGACAAAAATCAAACTTGAAATGAACTACAGCATCCTGCCTCTTAAAATAAAGTAGCTTTTTCATTTTCATTTTTAAGAGGAGAAATGGAAATCTCTTTCAAAGAGAAAGAGATGACTGGCTGAATGGCCTGTCTGTATTGCAAGATTCAGCATTCTTAATCTGGCTCTTGATTGATTACGGAGGGGAAAATGAGCTTTATAGTAAGGTAGAATAGCACACAGCACCAGATGAATAGGGAATCCCAGTCAAGTATTTTCAGAAAGAATGATCCCAATTACATCACTGAGGAGAAGCCAAGTGCTATTAGTGGGAAGTGGAGGAGTAAATGGGCTATACCCTTGGGGGTAGGGGAAGGGAGAATGGTAATGTGTCTATTGCCGCAAATTGCTAGGAAAAATACTGAACGCTACTTAAACCAAGTTTACCCTGGCCTGTCTTTGTGAAAACACACGAGGCAATGCCACTGATGTCTTCTTTCCTTATGCAATCATAGCGCATCTGCGGTCTCAGCCCAGGAATTGTGAAGATGTGAATGTCTCCCAGATTCGTTAGACACACCAGGCAGTTCTCAGAATAGTCATCTGAGGCCACACTTGGGAAACTCATTAACCCCAATTTCCGCACTCTGGAACCTTCATGGGCAGTGAGTTTGAACTTCGTCTTAGCAGTCACTCTTGGCAGAGTGAACACCTACATGCAAAAAAAAAGCTTTAGGTGAAATATCACTGCAAAGAATCACAATTTTCCCTGCCCTCCAACTCCCTATTGAATGTCAATTCCTCACAGGGGCCAGCCAAGGAATCCTCCTTCAATACTCTGCAAAATTTGTCATTATAGAAATCAAAGATTAACACTTTGGGAATTCATCACAGCCAGTCCCATCACCACTCAAATCTCTACATGGCCACTTTCCAGTTTGGTAATTGGAGGGGTGGGGGGTGCTACTGGCTGTTATATTTCAATAATTAAGAGCTGGAATCCAACTCATGCTCTGTTGGAATGAACACAGAAAATGGGAACAGTTCAGAACTAATGTTTTTGTAAAGTGGGAAATTTCTTCCATGCAATTTGACCAAACTGGAATAAAAATTGCTGCCAAAGGCTAGAACCTCAACACGTATCAACTAAGCTTCTAAACAAACAGCTGAAGGGAAATCTTCAAAATCCAATTTGGATGCACTCATGATTGATTTTATATTTTTATCTACCTGGGAAGGTTGGAGCAGGAAATAAAGGCAATTCCAGAGTTCAAGGGTCCAGAAGCTAAGGCACACCCGCAAATAGTTTGCCAAGGAGTAGGTGGATGGGCAAGTGGGTGAAGCAAACATATCAGAAGACTGTAGGTCTAGGTGACAGTTACAGAGAAGAAAGAGCTAAGGCCATAGAAAAAGTTGAAAAAAGAATCTGTTAAAAATGAAAAACAAAAACAGAAGTTGCTGGAAAAGCTCAGGTGTGGCAGCATCTGTGAAGAAAAAAAAATAATCAGAGTTAACGTTTTGAACAGTCCTGAGGAAGGGTCACCAGACCCAAAACGTTAACCGATATTTCTTTTCTTTACAGATGCTGCCAGACCTGCCAAGCTTTTCCAGAAACTTCTGTTTTTGTTCCCGATTTACAGCATCCACAGTTCTTCATTTTGTTAAAAATGAAGGCTTTTTTGCAGACACAATGTAGGTAAATGGCACTTGGCATGAGTTTGCATGCAGAGCACTTTGGGGGAGACCAGGTTTGAGGATGGGAGACAGAGACTGATCTGGGAAGTAGCAACTTTTGACTAAAAACACTTGGTCTAATATCCCCTATTGTTAGCTTAGCTTTTCTTTGCATTGTTCTATGGACCTTTCCATAGGCTAACCACCTTTAAACCTCCCAATCATTCTTTACTGCTGTATATTACCAAACCTGAAGTTAAATTTTAATTTCTACATCACAGCTCTCTGCTGCCAAAATTTCTAATTCCCACATCTGCGTTTCATTTGCATGTGTACATCTTAATGTGAATTTTCCATTTTGCAAGACCAGGAATTGGAAGAGATGGGGCCATTCTTTGCTGGTATGGTTCAGGTCTACGTACAGATTAGCATCTTCCGTAATTCATTTTGCCTAGATCTCTTACACCCCTAGATTCCCACATCTATTTGGTTTAAATAGATTTTCAAGTGCTACCTCAGTTTCATGTACGTCTTGTGTCTCTGGCTTGTTTTAATCAAAGTGATCCTATATCTATCCCAGAATCAGAAGCCATTCCTTATCCAAAGTCACTGGCCACTATTAAGGCAATTTCTTTTCTTACACGTATTACCTTGAACTGTTCTTCAGAAATAATTAGCACAGAATGACTGCCTTGCATCTCTGGAGCTTTAGCGAGATCACGAGAGACTTCAAACGGTTCAGGGAGAGGGTTTCCTCGTCCATCCAATACTGCAATCGATACCACAGGGGCTCGATGCATCAGCTGAATTTCTTTACCTAAATTTGCATGGAGTAAAATCAATTATTCCCATTACTGTACACCGAGCAATTGTCATTGTAACTGGGTTAACACAGCTTTTGAATAAAAAAGTATCTCTGGTACCACAGACTATTCAGGTCACCTTGTTGGTATAGTGTTTATTTGCTACATGTTTCCTCCCATCCTGTCCATTTACTCCTCCAACTTCTTAAATTCAATGCTGTCTTTTCTTACACTAACAGGTAGCGAGGTATTTATTGTCACTCCAAAATGCTTGTGGTTTTGTTGTTTAAACAGGTTATGGTTATATCATTTATATTTCCTTGTTCTTGACTCAAATTAGAGCATCTACATCCAATTGAAACTAAAAGTTAACCTTCATCAGGTCTTGGTCTTTACTTTTCCAGATGTAGCAGGGACCAGATGAACTGCTTTACAATCAAGGAGTTCAGTTGGGAAAAAAAAAAGAAGAGGAGGAGGAGGAACCAAAGTGTGTTGGCACAGAAAAGCAAGTTGGTGAGCACTTCTCCCTTCTCTAAACTGGTTTATATTAAATAATCTAAAGTGCCACAAAATTAATTCTGAATCCAAGATTGCAATGGAATGCATAGAAGTGAGTGAATTAATAATAATCTCAGAGCAGCTTCACCCAAATGCAAGCTTCAGAACAAGCAGGAATTTGGGGGAATATGTCAGTAATAAAAAAGGTATTACTCAACAGTAGCAAATTAGAAGAGTGGGCTGTTAAAGTAAAGGTTTAAAGCATTTAAGATTAAATACTTACTGTATTTCCTAGATTAAAAGCTATAAGCAGACATTGGACTGGTTTTAAAACTTAACCCAATTAGTTTGAAAGAAAACGTAATGGGAAGGCAGGTGATGTGGGAGCTGGTGACACCAACATGATCCATAAATGATATCTGCAGAGACCTTTTACCGCAAAGTTGATGAGCTGCAGCCTAATCTCCAGACATTGTGATGCATTAGGGTGGGTGGAAGTTTTGTCTTCACTTGTTTCTGGGAGGGAGGCACATCCCTTAGATTAAACAATTTCAGAGTTGGACTATGATCAAGACCAGGAAGGTGCAGATACAAGTGAGACAAGAATGGGATTCAGAAGGTGGCTTTGGAGAATGAGTTCTTGAAGGCTGATCAAGATCCCAATGTGCAAACTGTACACAACACTATATTACAGGGATCTGTTCAAGATTGCTGGTGATAACAGAAGCGGGTGGGGGGTGGGTGAAGAGGTGGTGGTGGTGCAAGAAAACAATAAAAGTAATACTCTGATAGATCCTGTTCTCTGCAGTTAACAGCACGAGTCACAAGACAGATGCACTCTTGGTGCTGGTGTTAATCCTCAGGGCTGAATAGGAATTTGGAATGGGAGAAGATCCAGCTGCCTAGTGTCCATAGTCTAACCTATGTAATTCATATGGTAGGTTCTGGCAAGGAACAAGTGAGGAGTCAGTGGCTAAATTAAAAGCAGAACCATAGAGTTAATAATACTGGATTATCACTGGCAAATTTCTGAAGTGCACATTATAGATAGCATCTGTGGCTCGGAGTGGAGGTCTGTGCATGTTGCGCCAATCAAGGCGGCTGCTTTATCCTGGTGTCAAGCTTCTTGTTGTTGGAGCTGTGCTCAAGCAAACCAATGGGGAGTATTCTATCACACTCCCACTTCAGCCCTGTACATGGTGGGCAGGCTTTGAGGGGTCAAAACGAGGTACTCGTTGCAGTATTCCTAGCCTCTGACATGCTCTTGCTGACACTATTTATATGGACAGTCCAGTTCAGTTTCTGATCAATGGTAACTTCTAGGACATCAATAGTGAGGGATTCAATAACGGTAATGCCACTCAACCTAAGGGGAAGTGGTAAGATAGCCTCTTACTGGAGATGGTCATTGACGAGCATGTACGGTACAAGTGTTACTTGGTACTTATCAGGCCAAGCCTGGATATTACCCAGATCTTGTTATATCTGATCATTGACTGCTTTAGTATTGGGAGTCATACAGCATGGAACCAGACCCTTTGGTCCAACCAGTCTATGCCGAACACGCCCAAACTAAACTTGTCCCACCTGCCTGCTCCTGGCCCATATTCCTCCAAACCTTCACTTACATGTACTTATTCAAGTGTCTTGTAAATGTTATAACTGTGCCTGGATCCACCACTTCCTCAGGTTGTTCATTCTACACGAGCCACTAAAAACTACCCCTTCATGTCCTTAAATCTCTCTCCACTCAGCTTAAAAATGTGCCTCTTAGTCTTGAAATACCCATCATCGGGGAAGATACCTGCAATTAAGCCTACCTATACCTTGTGATTTTATAAACCTCTAAAAAGGTTCTTAATTAAATAGGCCTCATTACACTTGACCAAATCCAGGATTGCCTGTTCCCTCATGGGCTCTACCACAAAATACTCCAAAGGAAAATAAAATCTCAAACATTCCACTAATTCCTTTTCTTCGGATCAACCGATTTTCCCAGCTCCCCTGTATAATGAAGCCTCCCATTGTTATAGTGCCTTTCTTACATGAATTTTGTATCTCTAGATTTATTTTCTGCCCTACATCCCGACTACTGCTAGGAGGCCTGTACATAATCCAACCTCAGGTCTTTTTTCCTTTGCAGTGCCTCAATTCTACCTGCACAGATTCTGTACCTGCCCCACCCTGTAACCACTTCGTGCTATCAATTTAATTTCATTTATTACTAAGGCGGCAACACTGCTCATCTGCCTGTTCTTTTGCTAGGATGCACATTCTTACATATTTAGTTGCCAGTCCAGATCCCCTTGCAGCCATGTCTCTATGCCCACACTATACCCACCAATTTCAATGTTACGAGCTCATTTACCTGGTTTGCCAGCATGCATTTACGTACAGTGTGCAGTCCTGTATTGACCATCCCCCTCCTCTCAGCTGTCCCCTTATCTACACCAAAAAGTACAGCGCAGAGGGATGTGGGTGGCAGTGGTTAGCACTGCTGCCTCACAGCACCAGGGACTAGGGGTTTGATTTCAGTTTTAAGTGACTTTGTGGAGTTCACACATTCTCCCATGTCAGAGTTTCCTCCTACAGTCTAAACATGTGTGCACATTAAATGGATTGGCTGTGCCAAATTACCCCAGGTGTTCAGGGATGTGGGGGTGAAGTGGATACACTATGGTTAATGTAGTGTTATGGGCATAGTGTGGGATGCTCTTTGAGGGTTGGTGCAGACTTGATGGGCCAAATGGCTACTCTGCACTGTAGGATTTCCATAATTCGGTGAAGTTAGCATGCAGGTGCAGCAAGTAATAAAGGCAGCAAATGGAACTTTGGCTCATTATTAGGGGTTAAAAATAGGAAGTCTTGTTACCATTGTACAGGGCATTGGTGAGGCATTTGCTGGAGTACTGTGCACTATTTCTGTTCCCATATTTAAGAAAGGATATCCTGGCATCTGAGGCAATTCGAAAAAGATCCCTGGGACAAAGATCTTGACTTATGGAGGACAGCTAAACAAGGTAGGCCTATGTTGTTTGGAGCTTCGGAGTGAAAAAGGGAGATCTTATTGAAATACACAAAATTGAGGGGTTTTGACAGAATAAATGTTGAGAAAATGTTTCCACTAGTGGGGGTATCTCAAACTGGGGGACATAGCTACAGAATAAGGGGACACTCATTTAGAACAGATATTTAAATAATTTCTACTCCAAGGGTACAGAAAGTCTGAAATGCTCTACCCCAAAAAGTGTTGAGGACTAAATCAAAGTATTAAGAGGGCAGGTAGATAAGTCTTTGAACTATCAAATTTGAGAGCTATGAGGAGTTGGCATGAAGTAGGAATTGAGGCCAGCGCAGATCAGCCAGGATCTTATCGAACAGCTCCTATTTAACTTGCATGTATGGGGTCATCCATCAAGGCAGGCAAGTAGTAATTTCACTCTGCAGGATGCAAATCTTTGGATTTTGTAACCCTGTAGGGTAGAGGAGGTTGAGTCATTGAATATGTTCAAGTTTGAGATAGGCAGATTCTTGATTTGAGACAACTGTAGTACTGGGGAAGGAGGAGGATAGCAGAGTTAAGGCCACAATCAGATCAGATCGGTTGCTATCTTCGTGAAAGACAAAGCGAGCTCAAGGAGCCATGTGGGGAACTCCTGATACTACTTGTTTTGTTCATACATAGAACCCCAGCCTGCTCTTATCTTTCCATCATAACCTCGTCATACATTCAGGAAATTTATAGGCACAGCAACCTTTCCCTTACTCAACTGTTTCAATAGCAAGGTTAAAATTAACAAGTGTAAGGAATTGAAACTGCCATTTTACTAAGTGGTACATACTAAGCGGTCAGTCCCAAAGTGGAAAACGTGATCCACTCTCACTAATTTGCACAAATATTAATTCCTTCAAACAAGTTCTCTGATCTTTACTATTCATCCTGGGACAATACCCTCAAATCATTCGTATGGTATTCTTATCCTTCATTCCCTGCCAAGTTACATATTCAAAGGGAACACTGTCATAACTATTTCCACTTTCTCTTTCTCACCACCACCATTGTCATTTTAGTCTCCAGACCAACATAGGTAAGGGCATGGCACTATTAGGATGAAACACTAGCACAGTTCCTAATTGCAGCACCACCCTAGACAGGTGTCATTCGAGATGATAAAGCAGGTTCTAAAACCACATTTTATTACTACAACTACTTTAACACTCAATCTGCAAATTTCACTACAGTTAGAAAGAAAAATCAACATGATTGTAACTTGGGAGGAGAAATTTGCGTATCCAAACCCATTCCAGGAGGGGGGCACTTTTCCCCTAAATGACAATTTAAGTAATGATTGGAAACTGCTGTCTAGGAGGGTGGTAGAAGCAGAAGCAATGATAATCAAGAAGAAAATTCAATAGATACAGGGGGGAGGGGGAGAACTTTGCAGGGCTATGGAGATTGAGCAAAGTAGTGGAACTGATGGGATTGCTCTAAAGGGAGCTGGTACTAATGTAATGAGATGAATGAGTCTCAACTGTTGTAAAGGACTGTCTTTTAGAAAAAGTAGGGAATAAAAATTAAAACTAGATTTGATTCAGACAAATCATGTTTGATTGACTTTTGTTGAAATAATGGAGATGGTGGTTAAGGCTAACCTAACTGATGAACAATTGGATTTTCAAATACCATTTAATAAAATATCACAAAGATTTGCTAGTAAAATTAAGCCCATGAAATTCAAGGTACAAGAACAATGTGAATACAAAGTCACCGTCAAACAGATGTCATTTATAAGCTATTTTCTCAGACTTGAGGGAAGTAGTGTCTCAAGGGTCACCAAACATGACTTTCCTCAAATATATAAATAAATCAGGACTTTAAACAACATAATTTCAAAGGCTACACATTATATCAATCTCCAATGGACTAAACAGTAAACAGGCCAGTAATAGACTAAAGGAGAATGTACACAGACGACTGGTGAAATAGGACAGATATGACATAGGAGAAACGATAGTCACATTCTTTCTCTGAAATGTAACGCAGTAGAAATTAACAAAAGCACATACATAAATCTTTCAATAAAGTAACAGGTTCAGATGGATACTAAACAAGTCCCTTGCATTTTCTTTTTAAATCTACGAAGTAAGGAATCTATAACAGGTCATAGTTGGAGTGGAGCAATATGGCCAAATGTGATGTGATTGGGGTGGGGGAGGTGGTGGTGGTGGTGGTGGTGGTGGTGGTGGTGGTGGGGTGGGGTGGGGGAAGAGAACAGAAGACAAGAGAGCGATGTATACTCTGGTGAGGGTACACAACGGTTTTGCAGGGATGGTTCCACAGATTTAAAAAAGGATCAACCATATTAAAGGGGCTACAGGAACTGGAGTTATTCTCCTTTTAACAGATGGTTCAGAGGACAAATGTTTAAGAGAAGTATTCAAAATCATAAATGGTTTTGATACTGAAAGTGTAGAGTGATTGTTCCTGGTGATAGAGTTTGGTAACAAGGAAGCAGTGTTAAAGCATTTGGCAAAAAAAAAACAAGAAAAAAAAGTTATGCAACAAGTTGTAGTGATCTGAGATGTATTGCCTCAAAAAAAGGGTAGTGTTAGCAAATTCACTGTGGCTTTCAAAATTGAAATACTTTTGCCACAGTAACAGGGCTTGGATTAGAGAAAAAAGGCATTATTTCAGCAAAGAGCGTGCAAGAGCGAGAGCACCTTACCCAATACTGCCTCTGCAGATTTTTCCATCCACTTTTCTCTGGATGGAACCTCCAGCGCATAAGCATAAACCGACCCAGCATTAGTTCCTGCCCACATTGTAGGACCATGGTGTGTGGCTAAAAGGATAATCAAAGCATTACTCAAAAGAAAGAGCAGACTGTTGTGATGTGACAGGCAGTCTAATTTAAAGAAACTGCACAGGTAGTGACCTGACAAATTGAGCAAGAACAAACCAGCACCAACATGCCATTGACCCCTATCTGGCTGATGCTAAAATTATAATTACTACACACTTACTGCCTGCAGTGAGGCTGGAATGATACATAAACTAGTTCCAAAAGAATGAAATTCAATGATAACGAATGCGACTGTTTTACTTTAAAGTTGGTTAAATGTAAACCACTATTTCTAATTATTATGAATAAAAATGTATTACTCAGGTTATTTTTGTCATCATTTCCCTCACTAATTATTGCAAGACTTTGTTACAGCAAGGAGATCCTGACTGGAATGTGGCAGTGATGCCAATACCATGAAACACAACTGAGATCAAAGAATTAGGATACAGTCCTGCAGTTCAGCCCATTGGTCACACCTTCAATGTGAAGTAAACACAGCACAGGTTAATGAACAGACTATGTACATTTAGCAGAAAGCACTTTTGAAGCTGGTGCTTCAACCATTCTATTTGACTTGACAAGGCAGGATTAGTTGCTCTTTTCATGCCAATGCCTCTAAAATTACATATTGAAAGCAACACTTACCATCTCGCAAAAAGGTGTCAGCAAAGTAAAGGCAGCGGACAACACCTGACAAAGAATCATCGGCAGACCGTGGCTCTATCCGTCTCTGTACTGGAGTCACCTCCACCTCACGTGGACCATCCTGCTCAGCAAGTTGGGCATTTGCTTCCTGGACCTATGGTCAAGAGAAGGATTTTTAAAACTAAATTCTCAAACAAGTACTTTGTTTTTAGCATCACTCAACCTAGCAGAGGACTGACCAGCAACCACGCATACAACTGCAGTCTTGCAAAGGCACTCAGTTACAACAACCATCTGGATACAAGGATCAAATCCAGTTTAAAGTCTGATGCAGACTAAGGTTATATTATATTACACCAGAGGTTGAAACCTGATTCATTCAAATCAGGAGGGAAAATTCAAATCCTGTGCCACGACTGACTAAATTATATTGTACAAGTCATACTTCAAAAGTACAAACCTATTAACATTTTCCATGAATGAGTGCATTATTATTGACTATGTAAAAGCACTGAACAAGTCAAAAAATGTCAGGAAGAAAAGTTAAGGATCTCTAACACTTTAGTCTAATTTCATCTCCTCTGCCAAAAATGGCACCATCATAGAAATTTATAAAAACAGGAGACCACCATGATCATGAAGTTTCTTTACAATGACCGGAGGAACAAGTTGAAATGTATTTCAGCAGGAGCGATTCACTAAACAGACAATCCAGTTTTTACCCTCCTTGTGCAGTACCTTGCTGGCAGGGCTGCTAGGAGTCAGCCGTTTCTTCCCAGAGACTCTGCTTTTTCGTATCCTCCTGAATGACTGACGTAACGACTTTTTCAGTGATTTCACCCGGGAAAGTGGGCCCTCCATTGCCAGAGAGTCATTTGGATGCAGTGTGCACCTGCCAACCCAATAAACATCAAACTGCTATATTTCTGATTGGCAGGACTGACAACTTGACAAGTCTAGGACAAGGCTAGCAAGATTGAAAAGTAGGACAGAATACAGGGAGGAAATGGGTCATCTAGGAGATGAGATTTAACTTTCCTGTATTGCTACTGAACAAATGGAATAGCAGGGAGGGAAATGGAGATTTCTTAGATCAGCAAATACAAGAGCAATGTCTACAAAGTAGATTATAGAAGTATTATACGATACATACTTCAGCCCGATGGCCTACAGTGGCCCAGTAGTTGGAATCATTTCATTCAATGCCCATCCTTATTTATTCTGGATTAGGTTAAGTCACAGTTCCATTAACCACAAATGATTTAGAACTGTCTGACATTGAAGGCCTCTTGCCCATGGTCAGGCTGTTTTTTTTTTTTATAAAATCCAACCCAAAAGGCAGGAGTAAGGGAGCAGTGAGAAGAGAACAGAAGCATTATAGGTAAAAATCAGCATTAAAAAAAATAAAGATTATCAATTCTCTGGGGATAGCTTTCAAAAAGCCACAAAAATCAAGAGATAAAAATTAAGTTGCTGAAACAATTTATCATAACCTACAGATTAAAAAAAAAATCAATCCTATTTAACAAGGATGTTTAGGAGGAAGACAGCAAGTTACGAAGGTAACTAATCTGGCATCAGCAAGCAGCCTTGTTCTTTTACTACCACATCTTCAACTTGGAGAGGAGGAAAAATTCAATCTGCACTAAAATCTTCGGCACAAACCTGGCTAATACTGCCTGCTGTCTGTAGTAATCAAAGACACCAAAACCATGACTGGTGCCAAATGCCACAAGCTGCCATTCAGTGTGCAGAGTCACTGCCGTCACAGCAGCTGGTGGAATACACTGAACCAGGAAGCTTGGCTGGAAGCCAGGTGCAAAACTGACAAGACCACTTTTCGGGATCAACCGGTCATGACCTTTCCACGTGAAACCCTCGCGGTCCTGAAGGAGGTCAACTGAAGAGAGGCTGATCTTTTGTTCAGACTTTTCATCATTAAATTCCATAACTAGAACCTGAGAATTTAAAACAAACATTTCTTAAACGGTATTTTTAAAAGACAGACAATTTTGGTCACAGAGGGATATCAGGGAAACTTTAGCTTGCTCTCTCCATGCATGGTGCCTGACCCACTGTGATTTCCAGCATTTTGTTTTCAGGGCTTGGAAACTTCTCCTTCCCAGATGTCATGGTCAGTGTCAGCATCAAGTTCTCACTTGAGACAAAGTAGACCACCCAGGGAGAAACTATTTTAGAAGCACTGCCCTCAGTGCTGGTAAGAATAACACAAATGATTCAATACCCCCACCACAGTCACACCATGACTGAGTAGGATCATGATTAGAAGCCAGTTTAAAATGAGAAGTCATAGCATGACCCCAGGGCAGAAGGAATGGATGTGTCTAAAATGAAAGAATCTTACAGCCTATCAGTATCAGCTGCACATGCATGCCAGTCCAAAGAAGTAAAAACTATAACTACAGAGTCACCTCAGCAATTTTAAAATCATTTCTGTTCAATAAAAAATTTGCCTTCAAGACAAATGACCAGTCTTCTATTTTAATGTTTTGAGACATTGGAGAGCAAGTCACTCCCAGTTTGTCATCATACTCAATGGGGACATATCAGGACTCTTGGCCAAGAAACAAGATCAAATAGACTCAAACTTCAGGCATAATTTCAACCCAAAGACCATGCATTTCACAATGTTAAATAAAGACGTCCAATGAGTAATTACCTGTCCTGCTGTTCCAGCAACCACCAGCTGACTGCTGTATTTACACAGGGAAATTTTCTGAATTCCCAGTCTGGGATCATCACTATATGGGTCAAAGCAGCCAACCTGCAAAAGGGCAAATATCACCACTAAAAATAAAGAAATAATAAACTTGCTCAGACAGTCAGGGACAAAATGATAATGCATACGCTCTTTTACTCTTCTGGATCTTTGCTCTCAATGGAAGTTTGAGATTTCAGCTCTTAATTTTGTACCCAGCACATGATCAGAATTATAGGATTACATCCAACTTGATTAGAGGGAAGGGCAGAATTTTTGTATGGCCATAGAAATAAAGAGCTCTTTGCCAAATTGCTCAGATCATTAGCCTCACTCTGTATACCAAAGACTCAGACTCAACTACTTTTAAAATCAAATTTATTGATCTAAAGTAAAGCATTAGCCACTTCAATGATCCTGTCCAATGATCCTAGCATTGCCTAGCTGTTAAGAATGTTTTGTAACAAGAACTCTCGAACAGTTCTGCTGAATTTAACAAATTTCATGGAGGTTTGCATCCACGTCTCAAAATGCAGCTTGTTAGCAATATATCAAATCATCTCAAAAGGGCCTATAGGAACAACCTGCATCAAAGTAGGACATGGGGCTTTCCACTTTGACCTTTTGTCAATATATCATCAAATCTAACTCCACTTGCTTGCATATTCCTGTGATCTTCAATAACTTATCCAGTCTGATTCCGTGTCTCCCACATTTCCCAAACTCAAATGCGCCCCTGTTCAGTTTCCTTCCACTCAAGATTTATGGCAATGAACAAAAGGGGCCTAATCACATTCCTGGGCACTAAGAAATGCACCAAAGTGTCTTACTGGAGCGTTATTCTTCACCCATGTCTCCTCCCAGCACATGCTTCTTTAATGGAAAAATTGCATCGAAAATTTAATTTTCCCATCAGCTAATACTTTCCAATGCACTAGAAACAGCAAATCTTCAGATTCAACGGAACCACCTGTAATTACAGTCACTGATATACAGCACAAACAGACCCTTCGGTCTAACTGGCCTATATCAATCAGATATGGTAAATAAATGTTGTCCCATTTGCCAGCATTTGGCCCATAGCCCTCTAAACTCTTCCTATTTATGCACTCATCCAGATGCCTTTTAAATGATGCAATTATACCAGCCTCCACCACTTCCTCAGGCAGCTCATTCCATATATACACCACCCTCTGCATGAAAAAGTTGCTCCTTCAATCCCTTTTTAAATCATTGCCCTCTCACATTAAACTTATGCCCTCTGGTTTTGGACTCTTCCCACCCTGGGGAAAAGACCTTGGCTGTTCACCTTATCCATGCCCCTCGATTTTATAAACCTCTAGGAAGTCAGACCTCTGCCTCCAGCACTCCAGGGAAAGTAGCCCCAGAGTATTCAGCTTCTCCCTACAAGTCAAACCCTCCAACCCTGGCAACATCCTTGTAAATCTTCTCTGAACCCTTTCAAGTTTCACATCATCCTTCCTATAGCAGGGAGACCAGAATTGCACACAATATTCCAATTGTGGCATAACCAATGTTCCATACAGCTGCAACATGACCTCCCAACTCCTATACTCCATGCACTGGCCAACAAAGGCAAGCATACCAGATGCCGCCTTCACTATTCTGTCTACCTGTGACTCCACTTTCAAGGAGCTATGAACATGCACCACAAGGTCTCTGTTCAGCGACACTCCCCAGGACCTTACCATTAAGTGCAAGTCCTGCCCTGATTTGCCTCAGCAAATGCAGCACATCACTTAACTAAACTCCATCTGCCACTCCTCGACCCATTGGCCCATCTGATCAAGATCCATATTGAACCAGATTAAAAAAAACAACTTACCTTGCGGAATGGAGGCCACTCCTCCTCCCCAGACTGTGGAAACCCTTCATTGTGGTCTGCCTCCGTCTGGAAAATACTTGCTGTGGTCAGTTTATAAAGAGATTTCAGTGACACACTGGATGCATCCCAGAACCGTACTGTTCCATCCTCATGCCTGAGAGCAAAAGGCGCAATGAGTAAATTGCATCCTTGTTTGATGCTTGTACTAGATGTTCATCTAAAAGATCAGATTTATTATTATAATATAATTACCAATTTTTACCGTGGTGTCTCACTACACCAGGGAAGACCACAGTAAGTGCAAGAGAACGTAACTCCCCAGACAGATTTAAAAATAAAACCCGGCCTGTTCCCCTTTGGGAATGGCTGAAGAGAACTCATGTCCATATCAATAATACTGCCTTATCTATGAGGTCAGTAAGTCATTTTACATACTTTCCTGCCAACTTTCTCATTCGACAGCACAGGTT